GTCTGAAGTTTGCTAGAGAGCATTTAGATGATCCAGAAGAGGATTGGGAGAATGTCATATGGTTAGATGAAACCAAATAGAAGTTTTGGTAAAAACTCAACAAGACGTGTTTGGAGGAGAAAGAATGCTGAGTTGCATCCAAAGAACACCATACCTACTGTGAAACATGGGGGTGGAAACATCATGCTTTGGGGCTGTTTTTCTGCAAAGGCAGCAGGACGACTGATCCGTGTAAAGGAAAGAATGAATGGGGCCATGTATCGTGAGATTTTGAGTGACAACCTCCTTCCATCAGTAAGGGCATTGAGGATGAAACGTGGCTGGGTCTTTCAGCATGACAATGATCCCAAACACACCGCCCGGGCAACGAAGGAGTGTGTGAAAATCTTGTGAAGACTTACAGAAAACGTTTGACCTCTGTCATTGCCAACAAAGGGTATATAACAAAGTATTTAGATGAACTTTTGTTATTGACCAAATACTTATTTTCCACCATAATTTGCAAATAAATTCTTTAAAAATCCTACAATGTGATTTCCTGGATTCTTTCCCCCCATTCTGTCTCTCATAGTTGAGGTATACCTAGGATGAAAATTACAGGCCTCTCTCATTTTTTTAAGTGGGAGAACTTGCACAATTGGTGGCTGACTAAATACTTTTTTGCCCGACTGTATATATATTATACTGGTAATATTTACATTAATTATGTGACCGTCTATGTTTCATGTAGAAATGTAATTGCTCGTTTTACTGCACTTTTAGTGTACAGTTTTACTATTATGCTGCTGTTTTTATTGTATTTCTGTAACTCTGGCAAAACAATTTCCTTCGGGATAAATAAAGTCTTATCTTATCTGTTTTTTTTTATAAATCTCCCTCCCTGTCTTTCGCGTGACAGGTTTTCCAGTGAGTTAACTTGTCCTTGAAGAGGACAAAGTTGTTAATTTGACAAAAACATCCAACAGTTCAGTGACTGTCTATATAACATAAAAGGGACCTGAAGTATCCTGCCAGGTATCAGTATAAAACTGGAGCTGCTTTGACAGCTTTCTTCTGATTTCTTCTGATGTTTGAGCTCCCATACAAAAACATCCAGACTGTAATGTGAGGCTAAGTTGGAGATGTTCCTCTCAAGCTGATGCTGTGGTTATTTATGAAGAGGGATATATTTTAAGTAGGTCAACAATTGTGGATACGAGCACATTTTTTGATTTGATCTGACACGAGCGGATGTGATTCAGCTTGAATCGGAGCCATGTGAAGCTAGGAAGGGTTTGTTGCGGTGTCCTTATTCGAGTCTGGCTGCAGCTCATGTGGAAATGAATGAAAACAAACACGTGTCATTCCAAATCATTTATTTAACGCTCATCAGCAGCGGCACGTGCATAACTTAAATGAAGTTCTTATCAGCTGTACATTTAACTAGGATGATTACAACTGCCATTATCTTTCATTATATGGAGTGTACTTGACCTACATTTTGTATTCTTTCAGCAAAGGGGATGGTTTCACTTCATTTTCATCGTGCAGAAAGCTGGGAACTGCATATATGCATCAAATAAACTTCCGTAGTCTCTTAGATTATATTCTGATTCAAGCAGCTTCCACAGAGAATGGTTTCAGGAAGGAGAAAATATATAACACATCCATAAAAATGTATTTTCTGTCAATAGTTTCAAGAGGACTTTTTCTATTTCCCATAGGTTTTCAAAACATGTCTCGGGTTTCAAAGCTTGTAACCTTTTCCATCAAAAGTGACTGATGTTAAACTGACATTCTTCTACCGCTGAGATTTCTGGCAGACTTGTGCGTCCAGAGAACAATTAATACAGATTTAAAACCAGCCAATAATTTGTGTTTCCTTTTAGGAGTGAGCAGGAAACACCAGGTGGCAGGCAGATTGCTGGTTATTAATTAAAAACTGTCAAACTTAAGAGCCTTTTTCATACTTTATGTCTCTCACTCCATGACACACACATTTGTCAGAAAATGGCACTCCATGAGGAACATTCAATGCACAGAAACCAACTAATTAAATCCAACCCTCCATTTACGCATGAGAATGCCTGGCACTATCATTTTGGGCAATATTGTGTGTGAGGAAAGCAAAGAAAAACGTACCGACTTCTATGACTCTAGACTTTACATTTAGTTGTGTTGTTCAAATTAGACTGAATGTTTGAAATACCAAGTTTTTTTCAAGCGATATTGAGAGCTGATCTGTTTCAGCTCCATTCAAATACCAAACTTACACTTTCCTGTCACAGCAGCTCCAGACTGACACTGCTGTCTCAATAAATGCCAAGCTTAAGCATTTTGGAAACCATTAAGTGAAAAGTTTGACATTTGGGGAAACACACCTTTTTGTTTTCTTGCAGAGAGGTTGAGGCCACTCTCAAATCGGTCCGACAAATATAAACTCAGCCAGCCCGGCTCAGTCCAAAGGTTGCAAAATCTGAACCCAAACACCTCTAAAGCTCACTAATTAACATGTTGAATCCATGGTTGAATCTTGTATCTGAAGAAAAAAAAATCTATATATATTTGCCATTTTGTCAGCTAACAAAGGTCATGTATTTAGAGCTGATAACTAGATTTAGTTTTATCGCACAACTACATCACATGATTACAAGTTTATCATCTCATTCTTTTGTATTGTAATTAAATACTACATTTGTCCATTGTAAATATTTTAAATTTGAAGTTGGTTCAGCTTTGACAGAGGTTTTACTTTTAAGGATTAAAACAGTGGTAAGATAAGATAAAAATACTTTCCATTAAATAATAATCCTTTATTGATGCCCATTATGGTCTTGCAGAAACACAAGGAGGTACAGATATATAGAGAAAAGTAAGAAAAATAGATATAATAATTGAGTCTATTTAAGTCTATAAAAGGAAATATAAGGAAAAATACACTGTACAAGAGTATTTCAACTCAGTGGTGTAGAAATGGTAGAAAATGTAGAACATCTTTGATATTTGATTTCGATATACTTTATTAATCCCCGTGGGGAAATTGTTTATCTGCATTTGACCCATCCTAGTGTTAGGAACAGTGTGCTGCCATTTTGAACGGCGCCCGGGGAGCAGTGTGGGAACGGTGCCTTGCTCAGGGACACCTCGGTAGCACTTGGTCTTGCCGGGACTTGAACTGGTGACCTTCCAGTTGCCAAGCCAAGTCCCTATCGACTTCGCCACCACCGACCCACATATCCAGACATGACAGATCAACAAAGAGATTCCACATTTACTTGCCTTAAAGTGTTGTGTCATGATTCTGTGTATTACATATGAAATTAATCAGTGTAGGTATTAAAGTATTTTATGCAACCACATCTAGTACCTGCTATCAAATTGAACAAAAGTCAATTGTAAGTTTATTCCAGTGGTTTCTGTAATAGTATAGTATGTACAGTAGCTACACATTATTCACTCTAGACTGGGAGTTACACATAAGGCAACAGCATTTTAAAGTTTGAATATAGGGTTTATATTTGTCACTCAGGTGCATGAATTTCCATTTCCCTAATGTTTGAAGAGTGACCGGCGTGTGGATCAAACATCGTTGCAGGAGCGGTCCCATGGGAATGATCTGACCCTGACATCTATTAGCACAAGTACAGGGTTTATCCGATTAGAGGCTCAGGAGAACAGGGATTGAAACCCTGGAGTGAGAGTCAAAGCAGAGTGTATATTTTCCCGAGGGAGCAGGGAAGAGGTGAGTGAGGAAAGAGAGGGTGAAATAGAGAAAGACAGGAGCCACAGAGAGAGAGACTTCCTGTCTGACAGAGAGCCACAGGGAGCGGAGGTGTGAAGCCGCGTCTGCTCTCTGAAGGATGGTCAGCGGGACCCCACTGATTGGGATGATGTGATTCAGGAGAGGCAGGTTATCTCTCTCTCTGTTTCTCCTGTCAATCTCCACCTTTCTCCACAGCACACCTCCGTCTACCTGTCTTTCTGTTCTCTTGTATTTCTTTTTGTGTGTGATTTTCTCACCTTTGATATATTGCTGGACCGGCTCGCAGAATGCCCCAGGGGCTTCTCATTCTGTAAAAGAGAGAAGAAGAAAGACAGCTCAAGTGGGTGCTAAAACCTCATGCAGGAACAGAACAAAATGCTCATAAATCCACAAATGCATTCTGCACAGTCAGAACTGACATTCGCCATATTAACTGCATCACACTGTAATGAATGGTGCTGTGTTTGAGCATTGAAACCAAACATACATCAACAGTCTGTTACAGCAACAACTAATATGCTCACCATTACAATGCCATAATCATTGTAACATTTGCTGGTTAGCACTAAACACAGTACAGCTGAGGCTGGATTAGTTTTGAAGATATTTGGTCATAAACCAAAATTGAATTTTGATCAGGGCATTACGAAAAGGGAAGGGCAAAATAAATGTATTACAATTCATCCTGAGGGACAAATTCATGTCTGCACCAAATTGTTCGCAAATGCATCTATTTGAGATTCAGGTATTTGACTTAATTAGAGAAATGTTGTCCTGCTGGGCATTACCGAGAGTCAAGGGATCACCAATGTCAGTAGGATTTGTCCTCTTGGCAACGAATGAATGTCTGCACAACATTGCATGACAATCGATTTTTATGGACGTGGAGAAATTCCAGTCTGGAACAAAGTGGTACATCGACCAACAGACCTACATTGTCCCACGAGTCAATCAATAACAATCATGCCGATTTTAGGAACAGTGCAAAAACGATGGTGAAGATATGATAAAGTGAATGCAGAAATGTTTTGACCACAGCGGGAATAGGAAGGACTGATTCATGTTTTTACTCCTTACAAGCAAAGCTTCATTTCTCAGCAGCTGAGCTTGAGCTGTTTGGCATCTTAATTTGATAAATCAAGTTTCTCTGGCGTGAGACGAAAGGAGGACAAGCCGATTACATAAAACATCCGTCCAAACTACAAATCAACCGGTGTCACAATATTTGTATCATTACCCAGGGACTGTAACAGGCCAATGCTGTCAGTACAGTCAAGTTTTATACAAGGGCTTTAATGATCTCCGATTCCCACTCAGTGTTCAGGGCCTGTATCAGAGACTCAGATAAACAGCCATCGGGGCGCTGTTCTGCATTTAGTTAGTATTGAAGCCTTAAGTAGTTTCTTAATGAATAATCAATCATAGTTACATAATGCTAAGTTCACATCGGCTGTGGTGCCTTGAACATAAAATGTCAATAAAAGGGAAATCAGCTCTGCTTATACCATCTAGACTAGACTGTAAACGAATAGTGGAAGTAGATTAAACGTGGCAAACATTTGATTTGAGCTCATTGGAATGTATTTAAGAATATGCACCATGTAAGCACAGGAGAAATAGCTTAAGGTGATATTGAAAACACCATCAATCTTCTTCTTAAAGACAATTTTCTACTGTTATGTAGTCCTTATCCAAGCAATGTTGTTAGTAGAGATACTGTAAGCCTTCAGTGTGGCTGATAAAAACAAGTTGATTATTATTGAATTTATATTCTTCTACACTAGCAACCCATTTGTTGGTGTTGGGAACTCAATTAAAAGCTTTTGCAGCCTACATCGAGGGCCAGTTGGTAATCCAGCTTTCAGAGGAGGACACCAGCAGAGACACATGAAGAGTTGAATACTGTCACCGCGAGAAGCAGCAGCTTGTGTGTTACCTCTGCACCCCTTTTCCAAAAAGGAAGCACAATAACCTTTCCTCTATAATCATCTGAACCACACACACACACACACACACACACACACACACACACACACACACACACACACACACACACACACACACACACACACACACACACACACACACACACACACGACACACACACACACACACACACACACACACACACACACACACACACACACACACTTTAATTACTTTACTCATGTATTGAGTTTGTGAACCAATTCTCTCCATCACTCTCTCTCTCTCTTCTCCCTGCTCCCCTTCATCTCTGTCCATATTTTTAAACACAAGATCTACACACACACACAAACCCACACACAGATACATGCTTGTAAAAAGATAATTTGTATATAGTCTCTGAGATATACTATTGGTGTTTGGAGAACACAACGTGCCAGCACCCGCATCCAAACAGACAATTTATTGACATTAACACGACTGTCATTACCTCTATAGTATTATTGGAGAGGCTATGAATTTGTGGTCAGAGCAGAGAGTGCAATTAAACACGCATGACACCTCTCTTATATCTTAATTTAATTATCCTACAGTCAACATATCACAGAGCAATAATAAAAGTGTCCATTATCTGATGAGGCAAAGAGCTGACATTTAGAAATCTCAGAAAAACATATTTACGAAATGTCCTGTCACATTGATAAACTAAAATGTCAACTGTGAGCATGTGGCCATCATCTTAAATCAACTATCTTCTGCTTTAATCTGCCAATCTCCTGTAAAATTAACTTTCTGCCTGATGCAGGGACACAGGAAGTACAGGAATAAGACCAGAAAAAGCTTTCAAAAGAACAATGCTTTCAGTTCTGCAAATATAACTCCCCTAGTGTACTAGTTGATAAAAGTGAAGCAGTTCTGCTACCCCTCACTGTCATTTCTTCTTCACTGTCCTCAATACAATGTCACAACACAATAAGTAGAGCTCTCAATGGGTGCAATTTGTGCAGCAAATCAATAGTCAGATTGTCAGGGGATGATAATTCAGGGTTGTGAGTGTTTTCCTTCCTTCAGATGACAGAGGGGGATAAAAGATCCTCACCTAGTCCTTTCTCCTTGTCCAAAAAATGGAGTAACAAGCAGATGTGCCGAGGGTTTCTGCAAAATAAACAGGCCACAAGTGGACCAATGTTTTCCTTTCATGGGCAGCAGTGATTGAAGCAGAGAGGCCACAGATGGATCACAAAAGATGAAAAAAGTATCATTTGTATGCGGGTTCTCTTTATTTCTAACCTAATTTCTCTGAAAATGCTTTCAACTGTTACCTGTGCAAGATCTGTCACCTTCACTGCTACCATGACTGAAACTACAAAGCGCCTTATTCTCTGGGCTCATGCATAATTCTGATAAGGAAGGTTCAGGTTTCACACATCACTGTGTCCATCTTTCTCCACCTCCTCTGTGGGTCTGTAGCCTTTGATAGCACAACTTTCAGCCTGGACTCTGAAGACTCCAGGCTTGTAAGAAAACGAAGCTCTGGAGAGAACGACAGAAGAGGAGAGGTCAGATTCAGAGGCTTTGCTGCGTCCCTCAGGGCTCTGTACTCGGCCCACAGGGAGTAGGGCTCAGCTCACTTTTATGAATCTTAAAAGATAAAACCTTTTTGAGGAGACACATTTCAAAGAAGCAGGATTAAATTCACAAAGTTGTTATCACCATTCAAACTTTTTCACCATCTGAGCAGCCTGTGATGAACCGTCACAGATTGGGCAGATGCTTCTTATGGGGTGAATGACCGGGCTACAGCTCAGTTGTTTCCAGCTTCTTGAACGTTAAGTCTTGGTGGTTTTCCCTTGTTTTATACCACTGTTAACTGATTATATATTTGGGTTTGGGACTTTTAGTCAGACACAATATTTAAAGATATCACCTTAATCTCTTAAAAATTGTAATATTATTTCAAAATAAATTCACACAACCACAATTTATCATAAGAAAATAGAGCTTGAAAATATTGAAATTGTATTTATTATTTCCCGCAGCCCAATATGATATATCTTAAAAGCCTGTTTAGTCTGACCAGCAGTCCTTATTAAAGTATGCTCAATGTACGATCATATATGATAAAAACAAAAGCATAAAATGCTCACATTAAACAAACTGAACAACAGAATGTTTGGCAAGTGATTAAATAAAATGTCATGTCTATCGATTAACAGCTGCAACTCCTTATAATGTTAATCTGATTGTAAAACACTCAATTACATCACAAAGCATTTAAATGCACATGGTGTATTTAAGCAAAACATTTGTATTCAAATACTATTGCATGACTGATTGTGAAGAGTTAAAGTGGAAAGTTACATAAACCAGCCAAAGGCAAATGTCTCCTATTTTGTTGAAAAACATTTCTGCACTTTTTCACAGCAGTGTCTCGCCAAAGGCAGAGCGTAAAGATTTGAGTTTATTCATGTTTCAGGGTCAAAACCAACCTGAGACCTAACATCAGCGAGGCTTACTGCACCATCTGCACTCGACTTTACAACAGATTCAGTCCCAACACAGACATGACATGTGATTCTCAATGTACTGTCAGGCTTCAACTTGCCCTTTGTTCCATCAGGAGATTGAGACATTTTAAAATCAACAGATAGATCTTCAAAAAGGGAAAATCCACTAATGTATACTTATTATACTTATTATTATTATTGTATACTGCTTATGCATTACATGTTAGCGTGCATGCGTAGCTATGAAATGTGTTTAATGCCTCTTTTTTTGCCTCACTGACTTCATCTATTTTGACTTATCTTTACCTCCTGGGGTATTTTTAAACATCCCTCAGAGGACTTGCCTGGACTTGCAGGGACATCTGCTCTCCTGCGGAGAGAGTGATAGTGACTGAGCCACGCGTAGTAACAGTTATGTAACAAGAGTTTGTTTTCCAGCTGTGAATAAGCAGAACCAGTGCTCCTTTACAACAGCCCTTAAGCTGCAGTGCAGTGTAATAATCAACCATCAGATACCCTCATTGCCAGCAAAATGTAGAAGCCAACATTTATGTTGCCTGGGACACAAATATAAAAATATAATACTGCAAAACAATTCAAGCTTAGAAAAGAAAGAGCATCAACATTCCTCAAGTCACTTTAGAAACATCATTAACTTCAGCTTTCTCTGTCTCAGTGCAAATCATTCCACTAGCGAATAAAAGACCACCTGTTTTCAGAGGTTAATGGAAATAAAACAATGCTTTTGGACTGATAATTGGCGGGATGTGTTAAATCTATTTCAGTCAGGAGGCAGGAAATTGATTCTTGTTGATGAAGGACATTTGAACAGTCTTGGAAACATGACCTCCAATATTCAACAATGCAGAGTTTAT